AGGAAGCTGGCACACACCCCCTACCCTGAGGCAAGAACAGACGGAGGGTGCGTCTCTTGCTCCCTGGAACTTGARGGATCTGGTGGGTGAAGCCATCTCAATGACGGCCCAGAGAAAGCCAGTGGGTTCATGCACACAACGTGACACACTCACATCTGCAGTCCCAGCTTCTGGGGAGGCGGAGACGGAGGACGGCTGGGACTCGGGAACCATCCTGGGCAACACCGCGAGTGCCAGTGCCGTCTCAAACAAAAAAGCCCGTGATTCCACACACGGCACTTTCCTACTAAATTTCRCTGCCACAACTGCAGCTTCAAGTTTAACAGGACGTGGATTTACTCCTCAATACAGGACTTTGTTCTGACAACCTGGGTTTTGTGTAGGTGCTGAGTTTTTTGTTTTTTTTTTTTTTTTGTTTTGCAGGGGGGATTTGGGATTGAACCCAGGGCTGCTCTCTCCTACTGAGCTACAGCCTCAATTCTTCTTTTTTCATTCTGAAAAAGGGTCTTGCTAAGTTGCTGGGGATGGCCTTGAACTTGCGATCCTCCTGCCTTGGCCTCCCGACTTGCTGGGATTACAGGTGCGCGTCACCGTGCCCAGCAGAACCCAAGTTTTTTAGGACTCTGGCACAGCTCCAGATACTCCCCGGAACCCTCCTCAAGACTAAGTGCTCTTTCTTTTGTACTGTCATCGTCCCGTTTAAGCATTCAGAGAGTGACAAGATTACAGGAGCAGTGAACTAGGAAGACTGAGAAGTCCAGGAGCAACATTCAGTGTGGAAATCAGAAGTTACTGCAGAGTCTGGGACACACCCGGGATGGACCACGGACACTGCTGCGGGCGGTAACCGGGTGTGAGGGAAGGTTGAGCTGCAGGCCCCCACCACGGTAGGTGACCTTGTTGTCCCCCATACACATGCCTTTGGCCCCCTCCTGCCTTCCTCTCATGCTCCGCACCCTCTTGGCTCACCTCCGCCATGCCGGTCCTCCCCCAAGTTCCTCCCTGCCTGCTCTGGACTCCTCTGGTCTCCATTCTCCTCAATTCCCCAGGAACCAGGCCTCCTACAGAGCCACCCAGGGAGACTCACATAACACCAGGCCCCTTACACAGGTTCACTGGGTGAGCCCAGCAAACACAGTGGGCATCAGCAGCGGCACCGCTAGCTGCCCTGTAACCCCTTGGCAAACCCTCACATTCCTATCAAAGGGGCTGGGCATGGTGGCACACACCTGTAATCCCAGCATCAGCTTAGGAGGCTGAGGCAGGAGGATCACAAGTTCAAGGCCAGCCTCAGCAATTTAGGGAGGCCCTAAGCAACTTAGTGAGACCCTGTCTCAAAAAATAAAAAGAGCTGGGGATTCAATCCTGGTCCCAAACAAACGAAAACAAAAACAAAACAAAACAAAAAAACTATCAATATGGRAGCGGGAACCATACAGTAAACTCAGACTATCTACTCAGACCATCAGTTCACCAAAAAGGTTCCCAAGTTTTTGGAGTTCTCTGCCAACTGGAGAGGCAGATATTAAAGTTCAAAAGCAAGATTTGGAATGCAAGCTGCTCACCTCAGCCTCTTAGGTGGAAGACAGGTGGGTGGAATAGAGACAGAAAAAAGGTAATTGGAAAGGTGAGCAATGGAGGCTTTCCCTCAAAGTCCCCTCACATGTCCCCCCTCTTCTGTGGCTGTTGTGAAGACCCAGCAGCCAAAAGCAGGCTTTTGGACGCCCCTACCCCACCCCAATTCCAGACAAGATTCTTTTCAATCTACCTACCCAAGTTGAAGTTCTCACAGGCTGGTAAATACAGTGAGCTTATTTGCAAGCCAGGGTCATATCTGCCTAGCAACCCACCCCCAAGACTTGAGGGACTCTCAACGTGGACAGACAACAGGCAGGCCAACTGTGCACAAAGGAATCTGTTCTCATGCAAATGACCCTGAGCAAGAGGGCTAAGAAAAGAGAGAGTCCTGGGACAGCTCTCAGGAGCCAGTGTTTCCCAAGAAGATGTTGAGGGACTTTTTAAGGGCATGATAGCAGTCTTGCCCACGGTCAAGGAAGGGCTGGCCAGAGGGGCTCTGCCTGCCTCTTGGACTCTGACAGACCTACAGAAGAGGCCGAGAGGAGAGCTGAACCCTTAATTTCCTGAAAAAAAAAATTTTTTTTTTTTTATTTTTTATTCTGTACTCCAGACTCCAAAGGTTCTTTTGTTCTTATTTAGAACTAAACAGAGTTAGTTTTGTTTGGGGGGGTTTGATTAGCATGGTAATGCAGTACTTTTCCTGGACAAGTAAAATAGAAGGCAGAGGTTTTCACTAGGCCTAAGGGAACGAGGCGAAGCCAGTCCCTAACTAGGGTGGGCAAGTCATGAGTCTGTGGCTAGCTAGCAAGGCTGGGCTGAGTCCAGCCACCTCTCCACTGTCCAAGTGGCCATGGCCAACGTCAATGTCAACTTTGGATGAACCCTAGTTGCAAAAAGAGCCAGCGCACATCTGTGAATGTGGTGTGACCTTGAACGAATCCCTCCGATGCTCTCTCTGGGCCTCGTTTTTTTCATCTGCAAAATGGGGACAATAAGTCTCAAGTGCAGAAGGTTGATGATGGGGTTAAAATAAATCACACAGCTGGCACTTAACTCAGAATTTGGGACAAAGCAAACATAAGAAAATTAATTAGAATTAATATAAGAATTAATATACATTAGTAATGATAATTAAATTGCTATGTTAATAACAACATTATTAGTCCTCCCCCCCACCAAATAACCAGATTGTATTTGGCCAAAGTATTCACATGGGATTTTTCTAATCATTTGAGCCRTAGGAATTTAGGCTTTATCTATTTTTAAAAAAATTTTTTTCTTCCACTTTTTCTCTCTTTTGCTTCAGGCTGCTGAGCCCCAAAGTGACAGTGACCCACAGTAGAGAGGGCACTGTCTAATTTTTAAAGTCTAGAACCTAAAGCACTGAGATTTTATGTGACTTGGTAGAGTTGCTCAGTATAAATGATGGGCTACAGCCCTGAGTTTCATTAGACAATACAGCACATGCTGTGCCCGGATTTTTTCTTTTTTTCCTAGTACTGGGGACGGAACCCAGGGGGGCTTCACCATGAGCTACACTCCCAGCTCTTGATTTTTCATTTGAAAACAGGGTCTTGCTAAGTTGTCCAGGCAGACCTCAAACTTGTAACTCTCCTGCTTCAGCCKCCTGAGCTGCTGGGATTACAGGTGTGTACCACCACACTTGGCTTTGCTGTGCCATATTAAACATGCCATTTCCAGTCAGATGGGACATAGCYGTGACTCCGGCTTCTGTGGAGGTTGAGGCTGAACCACAACTTGAGCCCAGAAGTTCCAGACCAGTCTGAGCAACCAGCCAGACACTATCTCAAACAAAACAAACATTATTAAAAGTTTTTAAAATGCAAGCATGACATCTCCTTTTGGGGTACAGGGACAGGTCCTCACTACTAAAGTGTAAGACCCTAAATATAAAAGACTATGCTTACAGGTCAGCCAGCTTCAACCATGTTTTCTTTTTTGTGATTAAAATCCATTTGCTAATACATGTGGATTCTTTAAAGAACAACTCATAACGGATTTCTCACAGGGTGTCTTTKGGAGTCAGCAATTGGCTTTGATAAACCCTGAACAACAAGAAGAATTAATGGTAATTGCCAAGGACTTAATAGTGATCCACACTTTACAGGCATCGTAAATTAAATCGTTCAGCTCTAGGAACACACATTTACTCCCATTTCGCAGATTTGGAAATTAATGATCTGCAAAGTTAAACCACTCCTACTCAGCAGCCATGCTGGCTGAATACTGGTGGCCCCAACGCATCTGCTTCCCACTTAACCCACACCAGATCTTGTTAATAGAAATGGGTGACATCTAATCCAGTAGACTGGCTCCCAAAATCGTCAGGGCAATCAGCGAGCAAGGATTTATACTAAAATTCAGATCGCCGGCTCCTCCCCGTGGCGACCCTCCGTGCACACTTCAAAACTAAGCTCTCCTGAGTTGGACATCAGAACTACATTTTCTGAACCCCGCGGGACCGAGCAGCGGTTGCCAAAGTCCGCAGGGGAACGCGGTCTTTGCTCCGCAGCCGTTCCCAAATTTGCCCTGGGTTTGTGAGGTGGGGACCAAGAAGCCAAGTTTGCGCCCCCTTGGGCTCTGAAATGCCCAAGATCTTCGGACACACGCTTTGTCCCTACGAAGAACTCGTAACTGAGGTTTCTCCTGCACCTTCGGCTTAATTCACAGTGACCTTGGGAACGGGGATTTCGAAACGAGGGGCACACTCTCTCTAAACCTCCGGGTCCCTGCTGGGGGCTCCCGCGGGTCAGGCAGTCGTGCACCTGTGCGGATGTCTCCTCCCGCCTGGCAGAGGGTGCGCGCGCGCCCGGGGCGAAGATGCTGACTCAGCCGGGCTGCTCACATCCCTTTCGCGCAACGCGGATGCTGTTGCTGCTGTGGCTGCTGCCGCTGCACCAAAGACTGAGAAAGCAATGCACCCGAAGCAGCCCGGCCGCGGGCTCCCTGGGGCCCACTGCGGCACTCCCTCCCCACCCCCGGAAGGGGAACTGTGGGGGTGCKCGAGTTGACGAAATTAGGGGAAGTGGGCGCTGGAGCAGGAACTCGAGCGCAGCGCGCGCAGCTCACACCCAAACTGGAAGGAACCTGTTCTGCCCGGAGCGGGCGCGTAGCTGCCGCAACCGCGAGCGCTGCGCGGGACCAACCCCGGCGCGCGCTTCCCCCCCTCCCCGCTAACACCCCAAATGCTCAGGGCGCGGGCGGGGCCGAGTGGCGGGCACGCTGAGAGAGGGTGCAGGCGCACCCCAACACTCCTGCACGCCCGCGCTCCCACTTGCATTGCAGCAAAGTGCCGGGGTTCGGTCGGGCGAGGCGCACCCAGGCTGGGGGATGAGGGCGTCATGCCAAGGACCCCAGCGGCGTTGGCGGGGGCGGCCAGCTCGGGACGGCGACGCTGTTACCTTCCGTGACCCCCAGCCCGGGCGGCAGACGGGCGGGGCGCGCGCCCGACGCGGCCCCGGTCCACGTGGGCCGGCGCGCGCGCGCCAGGCCGGCCCCCTCCTTGGCGGCGCTCCGCGCTCGCAGCACATGGTCGGCGGCGGCGCGCCCCCGAGGCCGGCGGAGACCGGCTGCAGCCGGTATAGGATAAGAGATAGGCAGCGACGCGGGGCCGGGGCGCGGGCGGCGGCACGCACGGCCCGGGCGGAGGCGGCCGGGTGGGGGGCGGGGGGAGGGTGTGGCCCGGGTGGCGGCGGCGAGGGAGTGGGTGGGGGGCCAGGGTGCTCCCGGCTCACCGGCCGGCCAGAGCCAACTTGTGATAGACTCGGGTCCACGCCCTAAGGGGTTAATCCTTTTCTCATGTTACCGAGCGGCTTATAAGGAGGGGGAGGCCAAGCCTCCGCCTTATTGGGAGCCTTTTGGGGTTTATTCTCTTCCCTTCTAACTTGGTGAGTTGGTTTTATTATTTTACATGTTTAAAAGTTTGATTGTGGGGCATGGATTGTTTTTTAAAAATATATGTGTTGGGGCGGGGAGGCGGAGGAAACGACTTAACATTTTGGCATTTTGGAGAGATTTTTTTTCCGAAAAATATTCTGACAGTTGGGAATGTTCAGGGCCACCAGGATTACCCGCTCTTGCCAGTGTGGGCAGCTGAGAGTTGACTGTCCATGACCCTGCTATAGTTGGGGTCCGGGGAGATACCTGGCCTGGTCTTTGAGTGCCCCCACCCCGGGTGAGGGGCTCCAGGCTGTCGGGGGAGTCAGGGACGGCGGGCTCAGCCCGGCTGTGGATTTCCCGCATGAAGTTGCGTGCGCGTCGCTGGAGCGAAATGTCAGAGGTACCTTCCTTGCCCAGACTCGCGCGCGCACGCAGAGCGGCCACTGAGGCAGCGCGAGGAAAAGTGGGTCTCCCGGTCTCCATCCCCGACACACCATCCCGCGGCCGCCCGTGCCTACCCCGGGGGAGGGCAGGGATCTCCCCCTGGAGCGCGGGTCCCACACCTGGACGTTCCGAACTGTCAGCGGCTGACGGGCGGTCCCGCGCAACTTCCAAGGTTCTCTTGGGCTGCCAACCGCAGGAAAGCGCTGGTGTAGCTGAGCAGTGCTGGAGCCAGAGAGGATGRTTTTGCAGAGGAAATGGGTTATTTCTTTCTGGGTTGTTTTCATTCCCTTCACCCCCAGCAGACAGGTGAAGAAGTTTGTTAGGTAGCGGGTAAAAAGTCACCAAACACGGTCGGGCCAGTTTGGGGAATAAGCTCCCGGGAGGCAGCTGGGGGAGAGAGCATTTACAGCTCGGTCAACCTGGAAGCCCGGGTGGTTCCTATCTGGGATAGATTCTCCCCAGAACTTAAACTGTTTTTGCAAATCATAGTGAGATGGGTGTCTTGTGGGGTGGGGGCAGCCAATTTTTATGCTGAGATCTGTGATGTGTYTCCCCATGGCCCAAGCACTATTATGTGGCATTTGGGGGTCACCAGTGCATCCTGCAGATGAACACAGTAGAAACACCTCTTCGTGTAATTAAGGGAAGGCTGTCCAAGATAGAAACTGACAGTATGTAAATAAACAATGCAGCCAAGTGGAAAAACTCCTATCTTAATGAGTACGGTAACCCTGAGTTTTCCTCCTGTGGTTTCCAAAACAGGACTTTCCTCAGTGGAACTCCTGAGGAGGACACTTAAATTAGGGGCTCCGGTTTCAACATCATGGTCTTGCAAAATGGGCGAATTGGTTGTATGCAATGATTCAACGCTGCTGAGGCAGCCCTCCAGGTTAGGTCTGGGGCTTTTTTCAGATAGAGAATTCAAACCAGCTTCATCCAGATACAGATGGGTTTGGACAACCAGGGCCTGAGACGCYTGGTCAAAAGCTCTTCTCCAGGCTGGTCTTTAAAAACACTGGAGGGTCCCCATGCATTTGCTCAAGCTCTGCCTACATGCACGGCAGCCGTCCTGCTTCCATCTAAAGAGCCTGCATTTTGAACTCTTCTCTGAACTGACCCTCAACTAGCACTCAGAAGGTCTATAATCCAATATGATGCCCTTAGGTCAAATCTTTTCTCAGCCAATTAAATCACAGTGAAGATCCCAAGTAGATCAGATTTCCAAGCCTTAGCAGAATACTCATTTATATATTTGTATTTTCATTCTTGAATTTTTATTTATTTATTTACTTACTTACTTACTTATTTTGGTACCTGGAATTGAACCCAAGGAGGGCTTAACCACTGAATCACAACCTCAGTCATTTTTTATTTTTTATTTTGAGAYAGGATCTCGCTAAGTTGATTAGGGYGGAACTAAGTTGATGAGGCTGGCTTTAAACTTTTCAATCCTCCTCCCTCAGCCTCTCAAGTCCCTGGGATCACAGGTATGTGCCCCATGCCCAACCTTTTTATTTATTGGTATTAGAGATTGAACCCAAGGGCACTTAACCACAGCCCTATTCCAGCCCATTTTTTTATTATTATTTTTAAAACATTTGAGACAGGATCTCCCTAAATTGCTTAGGGCCTCTCTAAGCTGCTGAGGCTGGCTTTGAACTTGCAATTCTCCTGCCTCAATTCTCCTGAGCAGTTGAGATTACAGGAATGCTCCGCCACACCCAGCCTCAATACCCATTGACTTAAGGGGACACCTTTCCCCCCCTACTTTTCTTTCTTTTTCTTTCTCTTTTTGAGACGAGGTCTTGCTAAGTTACCGAGGCTGACCCAGAATTTACAATCCTCCTGCCTCAGCCTTCAGAGGTGCTGGGATTATGGGAGAGTGCCACCACCCCGGCTCTTCAAGGAGATGCGTAGATGGCCAACTACCAGGAAATATTCCAAACTGCTTAGTACATTTCGTTATTCTGATTCCTTCAGAAGAACATTTGGGGTGCAGGAAAGTTAGCTTCTGGGAACCCGCACTGTAGAATTTACTGCTAGAAAATGCCAGAGACTTGCCTAGTCTGCTTTTACAGATGATGAAATTTAGGGATGAAGTGATTTCGGCCAATTAAAGATTAACAGATATTCAACTACTKCCTGAAGGCTTGAAAAAAGATCAACCCCTGGGCCTTGCCTTCAAAGGACTTGGGAAGGATGGAGGGTAAGCTGGGGTCAGAGGCTATCAGAACTGCCTTTTCTTAGGACAGGAAGAGATCTGAGATCAAAATCTAGTTCAGTTTCTTCCTTTACCTGTTGGGGATACTGAAAATCAAGAAGTGGCCCACTCAGCTTGCCTTGCCACTTATATCCATAGGAAGCCACCTAGAATTCCTTCCCGTGGGGTAAACCACAAAACCAGACAGGGGACTTTCATATTCTAGAATTCACAGAGGCTTCCAAGTAACTGAGCTCAAAATTTAGGCCTCGGTTCTTCGTTGGCAGAGGCAGAGACAACTTGTAAAGCCAGTAAGCCTTCAGCTGAAATGAATGGAAGAAAGAGAAGGAGATGAGTCTACGAGTCTATGCTATAATCGGGCACTTTTTCATACGTGACTCAGTTTTATAAGGAGGCACTGCATTTTGTTTAGTAAATGTTTAGTGAGCACCTATTATATACCAAATGATGTGTGGGGCACTGGAATTAGAAAGAGCAAGCTGATTACCTTGCAGGTGCCTCCTGTGTGCAAAATGCAGGCATTATCACCTAGTAAGTTTTCAAAACCAGGTGATTCTGTTATTAGGTGATGCTGTGGTCTTACCTTCAAAGCTAGACATAATAGGACATAGGATGCTTTCAGATGGTAAAGCCATAAACTTTTGGAGTAGGAGTAGGTTCAGGGTGCCTTCTTATCTTTATAATGATCCCAGTAATAAGAAAGGAAACCTGTGTCCTCCAAGAACCCAAGAATGTAGGTGAAACTTATATTTGATTGTGGAGTTTGGTTTGGTCGAGTAGTGGGAACTGAGCCCAGGGATGCTTTTATCACTGAGCCGCATCCCCAGTCCTTGTTATTTTTTTGGTTTTAGAGACAGGGTCCAGCTAAATCACTGTGAACTTGCAATCCTCCCGCCTCAGCCTACTGAGTCRCTGGGATCACAGGTGTGCACCACCACAAACAGCTTGAAGGTTATATTTGAATCTAGCCACAAAAGAGTAGCACAAACGTAAGGCAAGAGTTTAAAAAAATAATAATAATAAAGGAACTGAATCCTGAAGGTAACAGAAGTCAAAAGTTCAGTGTCTGCTAAGCAGCTATCATAGATCAGATATAACCAGTGCCCACTGATGTTTGCAATAACCATCTAGCATTTGCTCTTCCCTCTTAGCTCAGTTTGTGCTTGGGCCATGCACCAGGTTTGGCCTGAGAAATCAGTTGGTTACTAGAACTTAGTTGCTAAATGCAAAAGTTTCAACTGTTTTTTTTTTTTTTTTCTAGTTGTTGATAGACCTTTATTTTATTTATTCATGTGTGGAGCWGAGAACCGAACCCAGTGCCTCACACATACCAGGCAAGAGCACTACCACTGAGCCCCAGCCCCAGCTTCAACTTTTAAAGCTCAAAAATGCTGCTTTGTAAGATAGCAGAATCCCTGGGGAGGTCAGGARATTTGATTCTGGACCATTTTGATCAAATCCTTTCACTTCTCCAGGGCTTGGTTCTCTGAATTTTCAAAATGAGTTAGACAGTACAAAGATGAGCTCCAAATTCCCTTTAGCTTCAACATGCTGTAATTTTTTTGCACGTGTAGTGGAGTACTGGGGATTGAACCCAGGGGTGCTTAACCACTAAGCCATATCTSCAGTCCTTTTCATTTTTTATTTTGAGAMAGGGTCTTGCTATATTGCTTAGGGCMTCACTGAGTTGCTGAGGCTGGCCTTGAACTTATGATCCTCCTGCCTCAGCCTCCCAAGTTGCTGGGATCATAGGTGTTCACCAGTATGCCCAGTTCCCAGTGTTTTTGTTCAAATTGATCCTGAGCCCTCCATTAAAACTGTAAGACACGGGGTGCRGTGGCCCACAACTGTAATTCCAGCAACTTGGAAGGCTGAGGCAGGAGGATTGCAAGTTCAAGGTTAGCCTCAGCAACTTAGCAAGGCCCYG